ACCAGCAACAAATCACACTTTGATTACTTCTTTCCCCTCAGGAAACCCCATATATATTTTTGTGTAAATAATAAATATATATATATATGTATGTGTGTGTGTGTATAAATATATATTTATACACACACACACACACACAAAACAAGTTTTTTGAAATGTTATATTTAAATATGCACTATTTTGCATACATTTCCAGAAGAGAATTCTCAGCACTGGATTTAGCCGGTTTCAAAATTGGTTTCATTTTGTTGATGTATTACAGTCAAAGGTTTTTACAGAAGGCATTTTGGATTTCTCTTTTTTTCTCCATAATTCTGAAAATACGGTCAACAGCAAGAAAAAGAAATTACAAAGAAAATAGATAGGAATATTAGTGATGCTAAAGTGGATATTTCTGTCTTAGTGCAGAAGAAAAGACTCATTTTGAGAAAATATTTAAAGATGTGTATTGAAATTGAAATCTACAAATGCAAATAGATAAAGTGCAGTAAAAGCAACACTTGAAAGCGTGTTTTGAATATTTACTTTCCACTAGTTTGAAACATTTTATGAAAAGCCAAACAGCCCCAAATCTCAAATATGATCAATGGATGAAAAGAAAAACAGTGCTTTTGCCTGTCACGTCTTACCTTAAATAATAATTTGTGTGTTAATAAAATAATGATAGCATGTCTTCCATTTGTCAAGTCTAACAACAGTCAATTTCTTTTTTTTTTTTTGAGTTTGCATCTTTATATTGTGTAAAGATGTTGACTTTTTACAGCATAGATGTGCACATTTCAGTTTTTAAAATAAAACTGTATTAGCCTATGTTGCCACTATATCAGTCACACTGCAGTTTATGTGTTTGCAGCATCAAGCACTTAAACCCTGCTTATAGCCTATTGATTAACCGCTGCAGGAAATGTTTATAATTATTTGTTCTCAAAATCTCAACATGATCGATTCTCAGCTGAGCTAATATGTTGATCCAGGTGAGTCTCGTTTTAAAAGTGAGAATTATCTGAATAAAATGAAAACAGCCAGAAATTAGAAATTATTTTCAGCTAGTTTGAACTAGTTTGTAAATGCTCATTCAAGTCCTGTAGCCACTTGAGTATTGAGCCTGACACCGTGAGAATCATTTTACAATGATGCACAAAAATTCCCCTTTAAGATTCCACTATAGACATTTAGAAAGCACAGAGATTTGAATGTGCTTTTCCTTGGTATGTATTGTAGCGTGACAACTGATCTGCCATAACCAGTTTGATTAACAGGTGTCTAGTTCTCAGTCCCCATGAGGAATATTTAAATGTTGTTGATGTGAAATTACCAAATGTAGTTTGGTTTCTGTGTATCATATTGGATGTTTATTATAAACTAGATTGATGCAAATTAATATTAAACCTATTTGGTGTTATTCAGTGGTAATAAATGCTTTTATGTTTGTGAAGTGACATTTCTGTGTGATGTAAAGAGAAAATTGTGCAAAGGGACTTAATTTTATGCACCACAAATGGATAGTATGGTATTCGAGAATGTAAGCATACTGAATGCGAGTTTGTTAAAATGGTTGGTAGTTATTGCTTTTTATTAAATGCTTCTGGAAATGGAATCTATTTTGACTTGATATTATGAGAAGCTTCAAAGTAGCTTCTCCAAAAACAGATCTGACATTTATAATAATCCTGAGATCTCAATGCTGGAGTAAAAAATGTCACCGGGCCAGAACATCTCGGTTTCATTTCCATTACTTTGCATTGCACTTATAAAACAGGCTGAGTTGGTCTGTGCAGTCATGCACTGCAGGTATTAGAGATATTAAAGTGTCAACCTTTTCGACTTGTTTGTCTTGATCTATTTGCACTTTTTACTGTCACACGCCTAAAAGTAAAAACAGTAATCGCTATTCTTTGTGCACATTCACCATGACGTATCCGTTTCTGTTCAGCCAGGAGTAAGTAATAGATATTATTGAATGTATGGTGTAAATGCATGGGTTTCAGATCCCTGTGGTGAATCTGGATGTAGGCCAGCCTGACGCTTGTTATCAGTGTGGAATTAGACCCTTAGTGCTGTCTTTATCTCCACTGTGTTTGCTCAGACTTCACAATCATCCAGCTCTGTGGTTTAACCCATAAACTCCCAGTGTCATGCAAGATACCGTCCTCTCCCGCTGAATCCTCAACAAATTCATTCTATTGGTTGAGGTCATTTTTAAAGGGATAGTTCACCCAAAAATGAACATTTTGACATTATTAGAATGGAGCAAATTTCTGTGGAAGTCCAATGGCTGACCGTAACTGTCTGCTTATTGACATTTTAAAAAAAAAATCTTCTTTTGTGTTCACCAGACGAAGGAAACTCAGAGAGGTTTGGAAAAGCTTGAGGGTGAGAAAAAACTTTTTTTTTTTTTTTTTTTGGGACAACTATTCAGGTTATTTACAGAAGGAGCTGCATGATAAATCGTATTTTAATAGCTCTTATGATATCTGCATCTCTCAATTTATTAAGCATAATCGTCTGTGGTATTTGCCCGCTGGTTATATATCCTAAAAACATTTCTTTTTAATTGGGCATTATCTTGTATTGGTAATGAGCCTTCACAAGCGATTGCCAGATGTCAAGAGTTTAAATCCCCAATCAAAACTTTTTCTTAAATCGCTACATTTTCTGTCCAGTAGTTTACTTAATCTTCCCAACCTGGCAACACTCACACTCTCTCTGTATTACGGAAAAAGTGCTGATGAGCTGAAAACACTGGCAAACATTTAAGTTGAAGTTTAGCGATCTCCGAGTTATTCTGCTCGAATTCTGTCTGATCTCTTTCACGCACTTGTTTACGCTGTTTGCTGCGACATGCAGATTGGACGTAGACCGTGCAAGTTGAAGTTCTCTTGATTTGTGCTTATGTAAAAGTGCAATTAAAAATTGTCAATAAAATGTCAATAATTGTGATTTTATTTTTTGAGTGAAAAAAATCATGCAGCCTAGTTAAAGGGATGATTCACATAAAAATTGCAATTCCGTCATTAACTGCTTGCCCTCATATCAGTCCACAAACCCATTAGAATTTTGTTCATCTTTGTAAAACAAATTAAGATGTTTTTATGAACTCTCAAAGATTTCTGACCCTCCATTGAACGTTCATTCTAAAAAACATTAGCGCTTTAGTAGTTCATAAAAACACAAAATACAGTACATAAACCTTACTGGTTCTGGAAGCTCAAACATGTTTGCGTGATGTGCCAGAAAAGCCTTACTGTTTCTCCTGCGTCAACATCCAGAGCAAGATATCACAATAACTTTTTATTGGACATTGATAAAGAGGTATAGTTTTCTGCAGGGGAATAGGATCTTGCATGACACTGAGAATGTCATTGTCTGCAACACAATATTCTCAGTGTTGAAAAGTTTTAAATGCTGCTTTACGGCCACAGGCCTCCAATGCACAAGATATAGGGCAAAAAAGATGGATTTGAGATGTCTTGAGAAACAATGGTCAAACGTGTTATTAGGGAGAAGGACACTCTCATTGTAGAGATGATTTGATTAAACAAGTTTAACTTTTAAAACTATAAACAAGGAAATGGAGTAAACGGGAGTAATTCAAGCAAATTTAGCATCCAGCCAGCAGCTTGAGCATCATAACGTGACAACTCCCAATACAGTCAACGAAGCATCACATGAAGTGTAGACACTGTGTCAAGGTGATTGCAGATGAAGGGTTTACAGATGCATAAGGTGTGGACATAACTGATGACAAATAATGAAATGCAAATGTGATCATTTCCTTATAACACAAGATTGCACCGCTTAAGTCAGAAAATGATCATGGAATAGGCCATGTATTTCTTGTGTCATGTCCTGTGCGTAAAAGTATGAAGACGGTGTTTTTGATTTACTCTTCAATTGCAAAAGCTGCGTTAGAGTTGGTAAGTTTGTTCGGTTTTCATGAATCGGTTCAAACTGTGTTCAGTCTGTTATTCTATTAATTCAGAATGATGATATAATGATTCACTTTTGCATCATCACTCAAAAATGTGCCGTTTTTATGTATTTTTCAAGTTTTAGTGAAGAGGTGAATATTGAACCTTGAAAGTCCAATTTGAATTATTAAGAGCAAATTGATCAATTTTATGAACTGAATAAAAAGATTAATCTGTCATTCTTCTATCATTAATTTATTAATGGGTTTCAAAGTACTGTATGCATAGAATAAAGACTCTTTCAATCTTTTTCTTATCTATTTTGTGGCTTCAGAAGACTTTGAATATACTGCCTGCTGCTTTCTGCCTTTTTTTTATTATCTTGAAATGGTTATGAATTGAATAAAAAGAATTTGTTTAATTCTTAAACATTCTGGGCCGAAATGTAAAATAAATGCTATTTAATAATCAATTAATTGATCAAATGTATTTAATAATCAATACGGAGTTATGCAACATTTAAATTGCACTTACCTTTTTGTCAACTTTAATAACAGGATTTTATTTCTGCTCCAATTTGTTATTGAACTATAAATATGTGACTGTAGTAAGATTTATTCAAACATACATTAAATAATGAAGACAATAATGAAGACTATATATGTATTAAGAATTCAGATGCAAAAGCTCTAAGTGCCGCCTGAAATATTCTTCTAAAATTAGCATTTTTCTCAGGCTCCTATGTTTATGTTCAGTTATTTCATTTTAATGGCAATGAAAAGAACATATTCATTGCTATTAAAGTGAAACTACTGAATCTACACATAGAAGCCTGATAAAAAAAATCCTCATTTTAGAAGAAAACTCATTTTAGAAGAAAATTTCAAACGGCACTTAGAAATATGAAGAATTCAGATGCAAAAGCCTCTATTTTCATATTTCTCTATTTTTATATTTTCTGTTTCAGTTGAAACCGAGAATTGCTATTTCGGCCGAAAATTTTGGGTTGCTCAAATTTCAGTGCATAATAAATTTCGAATTATCGAATATTTAAAAAAACAATGTTTTATACTTTTTTGTCTTTCTCAGGTAGGCCCCTTTGTGTGGGGGTCATCTTCCCCTTAGCTGGTGTCCATCGAGTACAAGACCAACACTTCCGGTTCCCTGAAGCCCTGCCTTCTGGATCAAGTTCACAGAAAGTGGTGCGATCTGTTTTCAGCTGTGGGGGGAAGTGAAGGGGCCAGAATCCCAGCGTGTCCTGTTTCCCAGACAATGAAGCTGCAGGCGGTGATGGAGAACCTGCACAGACAGCAGAGAGCCAAACTGCTGATGGAGCAGGTGGGGCAGTCACACAGCCCCGCCCCCATAGGGGAGGAGCTGAAAACAATCTCCGCCTCTGAAACCGAGCATGCGCAGATGGCAGCGCTGGCAGCAATGCGCGCAGTAGCAGCTGGACTTCAGAGGGCCGACAGCCCCATGTCTGAGCACAGCAGTGGAGGAGATGACGATGATGAAGAGGAAGGGGAGCAATACAAAGATATGATGGGGTCTGAGGAGGAAGAGCAGATGTAAGTGGGCAGTCATATGCAAATGAATGCAAATGAGTTGGTTGTTACTTATTATGTTACTGAACTAGTGACTATTGCATATGCATATAAGCGTTGTTAAATGAATGGAAGTTCATTACATACACCGGCCAGAAATTTGGAATAATTAAGATTTTTTTAAACATTGTTGAAGGAAGTCTCTTCTGCTCACCAAGGTGGCATTTATTTTATCAAAAGCAAACTGTAATATTGTGTAATATTATTACAGTTAAAAAACTGTTTTCTATTGTACTGTAATATATTTTAAAATGTAATTTATTCCTGTGATCAAAACTCAAGTTTCAGCATCATTACTCCAGTCTTCAGTGTCGGCAGCGCTGGCAGCAATGCGCGCAGTAGCAGCTGGACTTCAGAGGGCCGACAGCCCCATGTCTGAGCACAGCAGTGGAGGAGATGACGATGATGAAGAGGAAGGGGAGCAATACAAAGATATGATGGGGTCTGAGGAGGAAGAGCAGATGTAAGTGGGCAGTCATATGCAAATGAATGCAAATGAGTTGGTTGTTACTTATTATGTTACTGAACTAGTGACTATTGCATATGCATATAAGCGTTGTTAAATGAATGGAAGTTCATTACATACACCGGCCAGAAATTTGGAATAATTAAGATTTTTTTAAACATTGTTGAAGGAAGTCTCTTCTGCTCACCAAGGTGGCATTTATTTTATCAAAAGCAAACTGTAATATTGTGTAATATTATTACAGTTAAAAAACTGTTTTCTATTGTACTGTAATATATTTTAAAATGTAATTTATTCCTGTGATCAAAACTCAAGTTTCAGCATCATTACTCCAGTCTTCAGTGTCACATGATCCTTCAGAAATCATTCTAATATGATGATTTGCTGCTAATTTGATTATTATCAGTGTTGAATATTGATACACTGTGATACACTACCATTCAAAAGTTTGGGCTAAGAAAGAATATGAATTAATACTTTTATTCAGCAAGGATGCATTAAATTGATCAAAACTGACAGTAAAGACAGTTACAGAAGATTCATTTCAAATGCTGTTCTTCTGTTTATAAAATTTTCTATTCATCAGCAAATCATGAAAACAAAAATGTATCATGATTTCCACAAAAATATTAAGCAGCGAAAACTGTTTAAAGCATTGATAATAAAAATAACATTTATTTAAGTCTTTATTAGTGGGACTCAATTATCAATAATAATAAAGTACCAAATCAACATATTGAATGATCATGTGACACTGAAGACTGAAGTTATAGCTGATAAAAATTCAGTTTTAAACCACAGGAATAAATTGCATTTAAAAATATATTACAATAGAAAACATCTCTTTTAAAATGTAATAATATTTCACAATATCACTGTTTTTAATGTATTTTTACTCGGAAAAAAAAAATGCGTGAGCATAAAAGACTTCTTTCAAAAACATAAATCTTGATTATTCTACTTTTAACATGCAGTGTATTTTTAATGTTTGGTTGAAAAAAAAAAAAATTTCTAATTTGAGCCATAAATTCCAAAAATCAGATTTTTGCTTCGTTTCAACAAAGCAATAAAGATGACTAAAAGAAATTAGACAAACATCCCCTCGCATCTTCAAAAAAAATGTACAAGTCTACTGTGTACCTGCTGCTTTCTGTAAATTATTTTCTCATTTTAACAGAACTCGTGGTATGGTATTTTGGATTTGGATATGGCAATTAACCCATAGCAATATTTCATTGTGTTTCATTCATTATTAATGTTTTAATTTGCCTGAATTAATTAAGCGTCCCTCTCTAACATTTCATCTCATGTGTTTCTGTGCAGAAAACAGAAATGGGATGAAGATGACTTTGAGGGTGAGATGGAGGAAGATTATGATGACGATCTAGGTGATGAAGGGCTGCCGTCGGGCCGTGAGGCCGTCACCCCAGGCAGAGGCATCCTCCTCTTACCCCACCGCCATTTACACCCTCACTCCCAGCTGCTAAAGGCTCGGCCTGGTTCTGAGAGCGAACTGCGGCCGCTGACTCACTCCGCTCATTCATCCCACGGGCCACTCCATGGACAGGACCATGCAGACTGGACCTATGAGGAGCAGTTCAGACAGGTCAGAAATTAACTTGTGCACTAAGGGGGCAACATTTGAACATTTGAATTTCCAGGGGTGTTTTTTTTTTTTAACCTTTGTAAGGACATTTTTTATAATTGCCTTATTAAATATACCCGTGTTGTTTTATGTCAAATACCCAAGAATTCTGTCATCATTTACTCACCCTCATGTTATTCCAAACCTGTCCGAGTTCCTTTCTTCCGTTGTACACAAAAGAAGATATTTTGAAGGAAGTGGGTAACCAAACAGTTGATGTTCAATTTTATGGAGGACAAAAAGCATGGAAGTCAATGGCTACCAGCAACTGTCTGGTTACCAACATTCTTCAGACTATCTTCTTTTTTGTTCAACAGAAGAAAGAAACTCAGGCTTGTAACAACATGAGGGTGTGTAAAAGATGACAATATTTTCATTTCTGGCTGAGCTATATCTTTAAATTTAACCAGTTACTTCAGTAACCACAATACTATAGATTGTTACCACTCAAATTAGGTTTTTTTCAAAATCAACAAAAGCCATCTGCAAAGGTGGAACAGAAGATGCATCTGACATGGCGCCTATGTTTATTTACACACACTTACACAAAAATTGCATGATGTAAATAGCCTACAAATTGAAAAACAGGAACTCATTGGAGGGTGAAGCAGCAATGACAGAATCATTATTGCTCTTGATATTGTTGTAATGATTAATAAAGTCAATTAATAGTACAGTTTTTTTCCGGTTACAGACAAAATAAGCTACGAACAGTATATGAATTGGTTTCTTTTTATGCATTAGAAAATCACACTGGTTATTTCACTAGCATGAAAAAAAATGGGAGTAAATTATATAAAGAAAGCCAACAAAGAACACTGAAGTGTTCGAAGAGTTTTGCAAAAACTCCTGTTATAATCACTTAAGCTGTCTACATTGCAAAATGACTCTTACTTGCATATTTTCTGGATTTGTTGTTTAGAATGATGAGAGAATTGGTGAATGCAAATTCAGAATTGCATCAGTGAGTCACTGAACAACTCCAGCATTCTCCACGGTGATGAATCAGAACACTTCTGATTGGCCATTGCATTTACAAGCTCAACAGAAACGTGCATGATTGGTTAGAACGCTCAACGCTGCAAGTGAATTCTGATGCAACATGAGCAAATCTCCTGTAAATGTAATGCTGCAATCAACACTTTTCATTCATGTAGATTTAGATCCTGCTAAACTGTGCAGGGTATTTTTTTTTTTTTGCCCTCCTATCTTGAATCTTGAAATGGCATTTTTGCTGACTTTGGTGGTGTTTTTTGCCCCAAGCATTAATTTCAGACTGTCCTGGTAGACAGGGTAATTCTAACCTAAAACAGGTCCTGCTACAGTGATGTTAGTCTAAAAAAATACAGACCAAATAAACACACCTCGCACACCTGGATGCTTGCAGGTATGGAGGATAAATGTTGTGTAAAGAATAGAATGTGTTGCTTTCACTAGTCCTAATGCAAATATTTATATGCAGTCGCAGCGTATTACTTTGATATAGCAGCGTTACGGTCTAATGATCTTCTGAAGGGGTTGTGCCTGGAGAAGTTTGTTGAAGCAAAACAGTCTTTCAAATAAATATTTGCAAGCAACGACAGCATGTAGGACTTGAGGAAATAACTTGGCTAATTGATCTGGGGCTGAAGCTGCTGTGTTTTATGCCGAGTGTGAGATTTTGTGAAGTGGGTTATGAAAGCAGAACTCATGAACTAAGCAAGAGGCATTGAGTTCATCTGAGCAGCACTGCTCAAAAACACACTACATCTAAATGCACACATTTTGTAGTTTAATTATGTTGGTGCACAACTAATTGCAAGCTAGATGCATTAATTCCAAGATCGCTGTCCTACCAGCCTGTAGCTGTGATCCTGAAATTGTGGAAATGTATTACTTCATGCATTTACGTGTGTTCTTGCTATTTGTTAAACCCGAACCATATATCAAACACTGACATTCCCAACACACATTATCTGTCACACAGCTATATATTAGCTGTGGTTGTTTAGCTCGTAAGTGCAGGCTGTGGCTTGTTATGCCGTCATGTGAGCTGAAATAAAGAAAGGGTCAAGGCATAATTATAGATTGTCTCAGAAAATGAAGCCAAATGCCGGATCATGCAGAATCCCATACATGCATATTATTTGTTGGTTTCTCGAAATGAACTTTGAACACTGAAGGACTCGTTTTAAATTAGTTCCTAGAGACAGGAAGAGTTTGTTTGCCCTGCTGTTTGAGCCAATGAAGAGTCTTCATCTGGAGCAGCGGTCATGACAACAGCACCTGTCAATCAGCTGTGTTACACACTGAGAGCCAAAAAAAGAGCTTATTTATTTATTTTAAATGCTAAGTAGTTTTGTCACAGTACCAGTAAAATACAAGTAAAATTCCATGGTTGTTGATACCTATTTTATTTTAATATTTCCAAAATTAATTATTTGAAAATTTGTTAATTATTAATGCTATTAATAGTTATAAGTAAATAATACATTAAAGCATTAGCTTGTAGCCTTAAAATATTATTCAATTACATAAACATGATCAAATGAAAGTAATTAAATATCAAAGAAATGCATTAAAGGTAACAGAACAAGTGGCAGATCTATTGCACTTACAATGCAAGACTTTATGCACAAATCTATTTTGACAGTTGCTGTGGTTATTATGTCAAACATCGCAATTTCAGATTCAGTCCTGCATTTTAATACGGTTGTCATTGTCGAAACATAGCAGCATGAAAAATGAAACTTTTATTCAAATTATGAATGGGTTTGTACAGAAAGAGAGCAAAGAACGCTCCCTTTATAATCAATGAAGCTATCCACCTTTTTCCTAGCAAGCCTACTTTTAAATTATGGGAGGCACTTCTGGTTTGTGGAAGTTCCACTCAAATCATTCATAGGTAAATTTTCATTCACTTTCTATTTTCAGAAGTCAGGAGAATAGCATTATGTTTGGTATATTAACTGCTTATATTTGACTGCTTTTATTGTCCTCATTTGTAAGTCGCTTTGGATAAAAGCGTCTGCTAAATGACTAAATGTAAATGTAAATATTAATGTGACGCAATATAACAACAATATCTATAGAATAGCTCCTGATTATTTTCATGTTTCCTTTGTATTCTGCTGCTGCTCTCCCGATTTAATTCACAATATATACCATGAATAATTCCCTGGAATGCACTAAGAATCTTTCATTTTTCTCCCCAAATCCTCATGTCTCTTTCCAGGTTTGTATTCACACGGATGCTGTAAAATGTAATTGTTACGAAATATGACATTTAACTCTCCTGTGATATTGCTGCGGATAGAAGGAGGAGTTATTACTGGTATGTTCAGAATAATTTGTTAATGCTTTTACACATTTTTAAATTTCCTTTTAATGATCGATTGTTGAAGGGTGAGGAAAATAATGTCACCTCATCGTACCCAGTTTTTGAAAATGCTTATTGCTGATTGTTTACAGTGTAAACGGAAGTTACTCCCATAATTTGCGCAAATTGTCATGGGCCGTAGGAAAAAGTGGATAGTTCAGCCGCAGCGTGAGCTCACTGACTGAGTGAAAACCCCTGTTTTACTTTTGTCAACATAAGATCATTTGTGGCTGATTTATGGAACTGAAAGAAAGGCACTATGCAGTAGCACTCTCATGAATATGTTCCATGCCGTTGTAATACTGCTTTCCCATTATGACTTGGCTTCATGAAGTGCTGTGACCGTCTTTACTCTTCCTTGGGAATTTTTAAACCCAGATTTCCGGTTACGGAGCACTGCAGGTTATTATTCTTTTAACAATCATGTTGGATTTGAACATTTTGTACCCTGCTTTTGAGAGCAAGGACATGTGATGTGCGTATGCTGGGCATGTGATGTGCTGAGTGAAGCGTTTGCAGGTGTTTACAACTGTTGGTTAGCGGGCGACAGAAATGCTATCGGGGCTTTAGCATTCAGTTCAAGCTTGATCTTCATATCAAGTCGTTGCCAGAAAACGTGAATATCGTGGGCAGTTATGCAATCAAGACGAGCAGCACTGTCTGTGCGTTGAGATGTTGCACAATGATTGGGTGGTACTTGAATGGTTGTATAATGAATACTTTACACCTCTGCTCCTGTTCTGAATACGAGAATGTGAATACGAGATGATACGCCCAGTTGCAACGACACACTAATGGTTTTTTTACCTGTTGCATCAGAACACTAGTTAGTTTGGTGTAGTTTGTGCTGCCGTATGTGTGGAAAGAGTTAAGGCCCGTGGTTTATTTTGGGCAGGTGGGTGGGGGCAGTGAAGAATGTGCCTGAGGGAAAGTGATAATCTGGACCCTGGCAGAAAAACAAAACAAAACACCAACGTCTTTATCGGCAGTCACAGCTGGAACCTTTCCAAACTGAACTCTGGCACACTTTTAACCAATAAAACCCATGACTTATTTCTGTGGGTCTTAAAAAGTCCTAATTCACCCTTCCACAAATTCTTAGTCTTAAATCCGAGCTCAAATTCATCAAATCGTGGTATAAATGGCAAAAAATGACTCCTCAGTATTTTCTTAGTTTTACAGATATCATTAAATCAAGATACATTTACTTGAGATGCAAAATGAATGAGAGCTTGAACAAAATTACATGCGTTTGTTTAAAAACAGAACAAATATCTGTCAAAAACGTGTTTTCCCTGTTTTTAAGTCACACTTTTTTCTGAGCCCACTGGCGGATAATTGTTTAGTTTATCACAAACTCACTAAATTTAGACTCATTTTACAGATAAGTCATTTTGCTTCTCAAGTAAATGTATCTTGATTTAAGAATCTTTAGATATTTGCGCTGGAAAACAAGGCAAAATATACTAATGAAGAGCATCATTTGTTTTTACCGTGCGATCAGAAGGTACGGTAAAAGCTATTTTCATGTTCTAGCGGTTTGGAGCAGAGCTATTCAAACCTTAAGCTGCTTTCTGTAAAATGTATTAAAAAGTAACGGAGA